GACAACTCACACACCTATGGCTTAGTGAACATTGTTCTCTGAGAGAGAAGGGAGTGAAAAGATTGTAAGTTGGAGGATCAGGGAGTTTGCTGTGAGACTGTGTCTCCTAGCAATGTCAGAAGCCACACCCTGAAAGTCTCATCAACATGACTTTGTGTTGAACAAGGACAACAGATATGCCAAAGTGGACAAGGGAAAGACCACATGGCCTCATCCCTACACAAAGAACTACAGACAACTAAGGAATGCTGAGACTGGGAGAAATAAGTATTCCCCAAGGGAGAGCACACTATTTGGTTATCCAGTTCCAAGTGGTCAGCCCTGAAAACATGCACAGATGAATTATATAGACTGAGGGGATTATATAGTTAGGAATATACATGTATATACATATATGCATGTAACAACAATTAATGAAAAAAAGGCCATGAATTTGAAAAAGCACAAAGAGGGTACACAGATTTGGAGGAACAGGAAGGGGGAAATGATGTGATTATATTACAATCTTAAAAATAAAACTGGTAACAAAGATACAATGTATATATACATGTATAAAATTGTCAAAGAATAAATACAGTATTAGAAAAAGAGACTAATGACCACATCAGGCTTCCAGAAGTCCAGGCTGGTACCTAGCTCAATCATCATTAAAGAGGCTTCCACAGACAGCTAATGGGGGCATTAGATGAAGAAAAAGCCAAAATTGGAGATCTCCCTCAGGTCTCTCCCCTTGGAGTTTGGGGAACCCCATGGAAGAGGGGGAGAAAGAATTGTAGGAGCCAGTGGGGTGGCAGACAGCAGGAGAACATGGCCCACAGACATCACCTAAGTAGGGCTTACAGGGGCTCACAGAGACTGAAGCAGTAATCACAGAGCCTGCATGGGTCTGCAGTAGGTCCTCTGTGTAGATGTTGTCAGCCTTATATTTTTGTGGGAGTAGGGGAATCTGCTCTTTTGCCTGCTCTTGGGACCATTTTCCTCCTACTGGGTTGCCTGGCCAAGCCTTGATATGAGGGTTTGTGCCCAGTCTTACTATTGTATCTTGTTAGGCCATGTTCAGTGACTATCCCTGGGAGGCCTGCTCTTTTCTGAAGGAAACCAAGGAGTAGATCTGGGGGGAAGGGTGGGAAGGACGGAAAACTGGTTGGGATATATTGAAAACAATAAATAAAACAAAAAGTAATACAGTAATTTTAAAAATTTAGCTTTTAAAAATATAACTAAAAGTTTGGGGGCTGGTCAGCTGGCTCAAGCCATTAAAAACACTAGATCCACAGCTAAGCACTGAGCCAAATTCCTGGAATCCAGTTGTAGAGAGGGAGGAGTGATGAGCAAAGGGGTCAAGACCATGCTGGGGAAACTCACAGAAACAGCTGACCTGAGCAAGGGGGAGCTCATGATCCCCAGATTGACAGCTCAGAAACCAGCATAGGGCAGAACCAAAGCCCCTGAACATAGGTGTCAGTTAGGAGGACTGGGCAGACTATGGGGCCTCTGGCAGTGGAACCAATATTTATCCCTAGTGCATGAATGGACTTACGGAGCCCATTCCCTGATGGAGGGTTACTCTCTCAGCACAGGGGGTGGGACTAGGTCCTGCCCCAAATGATGTGACAGACTTTGATGATCCCCCCTGGAAAGCCTCACCATCACTGGGGAGTGGATGGGGGGTGGGATGGGAGGGTCAGTGGGGGGGCATGGGAGGATGGGAGGGAGAGGGAACTGGGATTGATATGTAAATATATATATGCACTTGCTGCTCTTGCAGAGAACTGGAATCTGGTTGCCTTGATCCATACTGGGCAACTCACAACTGCATGTAACTTCAGCTTGAGGGAGTCTGTTGCACTCTTTGGACTATTGTGGGTACCTGACTGCAAGTGCATATATACACAGGTAGACAAACATAAATCAAAAGACATGTAAAAACATAACTAGAAGTGGATACATTAGGACCACAGAAAGTAGTATACAAAGTAGAGAATTCTCTTTTCCATATACCCCCTTTTTTTGGGGGGGGGTGTCTTTTGAGACAGGGAGCATTACATAGTCTAGTCTGGCCTTAAATTTGTGAGCCTCCTTCCTTAGTTTCCCAAGTTCTGGGTTACTGTCCTGTGTCACTATATCCAGTTAAACGTGTTCTTTGGGATTTTTTGTTTGTTTTGTGAATCAAATTATTAAAACAGGAAGTCAGATGAAAATGAATACATAACATGTACCAATCTGAATTCTATATATCTTCAGAGATAAAATGTGGGTTTAGTAAATACATGTTTACAAAGCACATTGCCAACTGTTTGTCTGGCAAATAACAAATATACACTGTTCATAACTCAATAGCTTCTGGGATACAGGCTACCTTACATGTTTGGAAATTTTACATCATGTAAACCCTCTCAAATCTAGTATGTTCCTGAATGCCTACCCTAAGTCTCTGCTTTAGGAGGCTGGGTTGCTTCTGAGAATGTCCTCTATTCTAATGCATTCCCCAGTGATACTTCTGGTCTGAGACACCATGAAAACCACTGCTTCACAGCAAAGGCAGCTATGGTTTATTAACTGTCCAATAATTAAAGCATTTTACACAACTATCAACTAGTTACAGGTTCTCAGCAAATCAGCATGATTACCCATTGTGTAAGGTGGGAAAACTGAAGACCCAAGGCTCTAAGAAATTCAGCAGAGGACAAGAGATTGGGCAGCTGTGCTTTGCATTCCAGCACTCATGTGTTCCTTGTTCCATGCACATGCCATACCACTTGTTGCAATGCATGGGGACTCTGCTCATCAGAAAAAGAATGTACCTGGAGATGTGGTTAGTTCAGTCAGGGTGTTGACTAAGGACAGGGACTTACTGAAGATCAAAGGCTCAGGGTTATCAGGACTCATTCATCTCAAAACTTCTAAAATTATCACCATGTAATTAATGAAGCAGGAAGAATGTTTTAAATACAATGCTGAATAACCCTTATTAAGTGTTTATTATTCCTTACAGCAAACATACAATTAGATTTTTTTTTGGTAGGGTTTCCCTACATAGCCCTGGTTGTCCTGGTACTCATACCCGCTATACAGACCAGGCTAGCCTCAAAATTACAGATATCTGCCTGCCTATCTCCCAAGTGCTGTGTGCTGCCACACTTTAGATTTAAAGCATCACAACTCTGTGAATGTATGTCAGTGTATTATGCACAATCAACCGTTAGCTTAATGGTCTTCAACAAGATGGTCTGATAACTAGAGTCTCTCACCTTTCAAAATGGCAACAGAAAGCAGTGATATAACACAACAAAAGAAGCAGTTTAAGTTTTAAGAAAAGTGGTCCATGAACAGAGGAAATATGTTAGCAAAACTAAGCTGCCAGGTATATAATAAGTTCCTGCCAGTTCAATTTATCAAAAAGGACAAGGAACACAAAATTATTGGCTTACAGATGTGATGACAAGTTCAAAATGACAAAAAATAAAATTATAAAAAGAACCAAAACACCCAATTACACATCACTGTCAAACAAATACTTTATATAAGAAAAATTCCCTTTAAATATTTATATACATGTTAGCATGTAATACTGTTAATCAAAACCATGGTTTGTTTGTTTAAATAAGATTAAATAAGTGGCCACAAATGCTGATTTTTCTATCACAATGCCCAGCTATTTTAAACCAAACTACATTATGGTATAATGAATACATGGGTTCCTTAGACAACAATAAGAAGAGCAATTTTCAGAATGTGTTCTCATGTCTAGATAAGGGAGAGCTTTATTAAGAGGCAAACACTTGTGTAATGGTGCAGAAGTGCAAGTTTTGAAAACAAACACACTCAGAAGATCTGCTGCTCAAATAATATTTTTTCAAAACCAGGTGGAGGAGTATGATAAAATTCACTGAACTGGCAATCCAAAATTGCACTGTCATCAACTAGAAGGGAGAAAAAGAAAGAAATTAAATTAGAAGGATATTCAAATGCACACATAATTATAAATCATACTGTTTTCAGGCAGGGGTGTAACTCAGTGATAGAGCACCTGCTTAGCAATATTGTTGAGTTCTAGCACCACGAAGAATTTAATTATAAACTATTTTCCTAATATAATATTTTAATTAAAAAACTTATGTGCATGGGTATTGGCTTACATGTATGTCTGTGTACCACCATGCATGCCTGGTGCCTGCGGAGGCCAGAAGAGGGCACTGGGTCCCCTGGAACTGGAGTTACAGATGGTTGTGAGCTGCCATATAGGTGCTGGGAACTGAACCAGGTCCTAGCATGAGCAGCAGTTAGTGCTCTTAAACCCCAAACGATCTATGCAGTCCTTAATATCATATTGTCAATAAGAGTAAAAACACCTGCCATCTGGGTTATAAAGTCTTCAAAAATTGTTTTTTTTTTTTTTTTCAGTGTGTGTGTGTGTGTGTGTGTGTGTATTCATGTGTGCATTCCATGGTACACACTCAGAGGTCAGAGGAAACTTGCTGGAGTCAGGTTCTCTCCTTGCATCATGTGGGTCCTGAGGATCTAACGTCGCTGTCAGGGTTGGCAGCAAATGTTTTCATCCACTGAGCCATCTAGCTGGCCTTGGGTTGTAAAATCTTTAGGTAAAAATACCCACAAAATCTGCCAAAAACATATGAAGGAGGTTATCAAAACATTATTAATAATGATCCCAGCCATATACGGTGGATATGTCTGCAGTCTCAACTATGTGGAAGGCTGAGGCAGGACAATCTCCTGAGTTCAGGAGGTTGAGGCCATCTGAGACAATGTGATAGGACTTCATCTCTCCTCTCCCCCTGCCCCTTCAGGATTTCTCTGTGTAACAGCCCTGGCTGTCCTGTGGTCCTGGAACTCACTCTCTAGACCAGGCTGGCCTTGAACTCACAGAGATCTGCCTGCCTTTGCCTCCTGAGTACTGGAATTAAAGGTAGGTGCCATGACTGCCTGGCGGACACTCCATCTTAAATATAAACAATAATAATGGTCTCTCAAAGTTATAAATATCAATAATCTGAATTTTTCACTTGCCTATGTTTTTCTCCATTTTATATGGTGAACATGTATTAGTTTATTTGAAATTTTTAATTTTATTATTATTATTATTTTTCTTGTGGCTCAGTTGGCAAAGTTCTTGCCTACTATGCACAAAACCCTGGATCTGGGTTCATGTAAAACCAGGAGTGGTGGTACACACAGGATCTGGGTTCATGTAAAACCAGGAGTGGTGGTATACACACACATCTGTAATCTCAGCACTGAGAAGGTGGATGAAGGAAAATCAGATTGAGGACACCCTGGGCTACAAGAGATCAACCTGGGCTACAAGAGATCAATCTGGACTACAAGAGATCAACCAACAAAACAAATAAAAGCAAGCAAGCAAACAAAAACAAAACATTGGTCCAGAAAGATGTATCAGTGGGTAAAGACACTTGCAGCTACATCTGATATCTTGAGTTTGAATCCCATAATCAAATGATTCCCAGATGTGGCTGCGTGTGTGTGTGTGTGTGTGTGTGTGTGTGTGTGTGTGTGTGCACCAGATCCTGTGATACTGCAGTTACAGTTGTGAGCACCTAATATAGGTGCTAAGAACATAACCTGTGTCCTCTGCAAGAACAGAAAGCACTCTTCATAGCTGAGCCAATTCTCTAGCCCCTGGAAGTACTTTTGAATAACTATTTTATACACTCACTTGTATTAATTAGCTATTCATTTTTAATTTCCCAGGCTAACTTGTTTAAGATATTAAGCTACATTTACATTTATTTAAGCAAATAAAAGATTTTTTAAGCTTATTTAATATGTAAGAACACTAACCTACGTTGAATTTAAAAACACACTTTTTGTTTTGTTTTTCAAGACAGGGTCTCTCTATATAGTCCTGGTTGTTCTGAAACTCATTATACCTTGAGCTCAGAGAGATCTGCCACCCTGTACCTCTCAAGTGCCAGGATTAAGAGTTTATGCCACCATGTCCAGTTCATCTCTCCTCCCCTCTCCTCTCCTCTCCTCTCTCCTTCCCCCTCCCCTCTCCTCTCTTCTCCCCTCCCCTCTCCTCCTCTTCTCTCCCTCCTTCCCCTTCAGGATTTCTCTGTGTGACAGCCCTGGCTGTCCTGCGGTCCTGGAACTCACTCTCTAGACCAGGCTGGCCTTGAACTCACAGAGATCTGCCTGCCTCTGCCTCGTGAGTGCTGGGATTAAAGGGAGGTGCCATGTACTCAGGTAGTACTCATACTAAAATTGGATGGATACAGAGATTAGAATGGCCCCTGTGAAAAGACAATATGCAAATTCTGAAGCACTCCATTCTCCTTAAGATGGGGCCACATATGGAAAGGGATCATGAGTCCCCCATCTCTCCCTGAATGGTGAGGAAGGGGAGGTCATTCTTCAGTGGTGTTCCACTGGCAAGTTCTAACTTACCCAGTCACTAACCCACATCCCATGCTCATGTGAGCCACCCTAATGAAACTCAGTGGGTCACAAAACAGCAGAGGCAAGTGGATCTCTGTGCATTCAAGGCCAGTCTGATCTACAGAGTGAGTTCTAGGACAGGCTCCAAAGCT